AGACTGCACTCCCCCATGTACTTCTTCCTCTCGCACCTGGCCACCGTCGACATAGCCTACGCCTGCAACACGGTGCCGCAGATGCTGGTAAACCTCCTGAATCCGGCCAAGCCCATCTCCTTTGCTGGATGCATGACACAGACCTTTCTCTTTTTGACTTTTGCTCTAACAGAATGTCTTCTCCTGCTAATGATGTCCTATGATCGGTATGTGGCCATCTGCCACCCCCTATTCTGTCATGTCATCATGAGCTGGAGTGTCTGCATCTCCCTGGTGGTGATATCATGGGCATGTGGCTCCCTCCTGGCTCTTGTTCAAATGGTTCTTGTGGCTGCCCTTCCCTTCTGTGGGCCTCATGAAATCAACCACTTCTTCTGTGAACTCGTATCTGTCCTCAAGCTGGCCTGTGCTGACACAAGGTACATGTCCCCCAAGTCCCGCCATCCTGAAGAGCAGCAGAAGATCCTTTTCCTGTTTTACATTTTTTTCAACTCTATGCTGAACCCGTTGATCTATAGCCTGAGGAACGCAGAGGTCAAGGGTGCCCTGAGAAGAGCACTGTGCAAGGAAAGTCATTCCTGATTGGAAGAGGTTTAAGTTGCCTAAGTAAATAATTACTGTCTAAATCCAGAAAGTTCACTACTCTCTTCTTACGTGTGCCTAATGACACAACAGCAGGACTTCCCTCTTCCTCTGTAGGAAAGTTTTAGATAGCTTTCATATATTCATTTTATTTCAGATACAATTTTATCAGATATTATTATTTTATTGCTCATTGAATTTTGAATGTCTGTGGTATTAAATTTATTTTAATTCATAAGTAAGTACCAACAGTTGATTATAGTTGATCTACCTCATCAACCTACATATATAAACTGGCAAAAACATATGTGATAATATTTCGAAGGGTTTAAGTTTTTAAAAATCCGCAAGGAAAGGAAATGATCTCTCCAAAAATTCAACTTTTTTGTTAAAGAATAACTCAGGGATCTTTAATTATTTGTCTTGCGTGAGATAATCCTGCTAAGTGAGAAAAGCCAGACAGAAAATGTTGAGAACTACAGGATATCACTTATATGTGGGATATAAACCTAAAAGCAACAAAGGAACAGGACAAACAGAGACTCATGGACATGGACAATAAACTAGTGGTTACCAGAGGGTGCGGGGTAGAGGAGGTCGAAGGAGTAATGGGGGTCAAATACGTGGTGACAGAAAGAAATCTAACTATGTGCCTCCATGTGTCATAAGATTTGGCAGAGTGTAAATAAAAAAAATGATGGTGTGAAAGGAAGTGAACTCACAAAGTTGAAGGCACGCTTATCTATTCTCCAAAAATTTAATTTTCATGTTAGAGAATAACTAAGGGATCTTTAGTTAATTGTGTTGCAGGATGTAGAGAAATTCTCCATGAAGGTTATTGACTCATATTGGGAAGGTAACGAGCGAGCTGCATTAAGAAACAAAGTTAAGGCAGCTGTGTAGGACAGGAGAGAGGGGAGAAGGCAAAAGCCTGCGCTGTCATGGGAGCGGTGCACATTTGCAACTGCCGGTGTAAACCGCTCAGCTAGTAGCTAGGAAACAGGCAAAGCAGGGCGGTCCTTCCTCGAGGAGGCCAAGAATGGGTACCAATGACACAGCTTGCGTCATTTATGGATTCTCCAGAAAATTTGGAGCGCGGAGCTCTGATCACGCAGACGTGCGCACAGTCTGCACACGTGGTTCTCCAGGGTCTTTCCCCAGCAGGCTCTCCTGGTTATCCAGACGTGTACTGTTCCCCTCATTAGAATGTCTTGTCCTGAAATAGGACATTTCACCAGGTACTCTAAGTGGCTAGTACAGTGCTGCTGGCTCTTCTGCCTTGGAGGCATATTGAGATTTAGTGATTCACTCCACTTTGGAAATGCAGTGGTCTGGGGCGCACCCACACCTTTTAGGTGGCTTGTCAGGGTGTTGCCTACAAACTGCACTCTCTAACCTACCCTGAGGTTAGGTTGGCCACTTGCTGGCAGAACCTGTCTCGATTTCACAGTAAGAGTAAACAGGGGCCTTGTGGAGAAGAATAGGTGTGTGCTCTTCATTTGGGGATGAATAATTAATTACTCAGCCCAACTCTAAATAATTGTGAGTGGGGAACAGAGCTTATTGAATATAAAATTAAAATGAGCATTTATACTAATAGCTAACATCTTGATCACTGACGTGCCCAGTGCTATGTGCTGCGTATTGACAGCAATTTGCATGGATCGTCTCAGTCACCATAAATTCCATGAAGAAGGTCCTGTCCTCACTCTACCTGATACATGCACCAGGAAGTAGCAAATGTCTGCAGCCTGGCTGCTGAGCCCTCTGCACTTCCCACAACAGTGTAGTATATCAACATCAGTGTTATGGCATAAAGCACGAGGCTAACTTACCTGAAAGAAGGACATGCAAAGTGAAGGAGGGTCCCCTCCAGCCTCCCGATCTATTCTTCATAGGGCCTGAAAGATCCGAGATCATTTATGGGAGGCTGGTCATCCTAGATGGTGAATCCTGTGGCCATTAAGGGGAATGATTTCCATGATTATCATGAAGCACGAAGAGGCCATGCCTGTCCGACCCATACAGTCCTAGGCTATCCAAGAAGCTGTTAAATATTGACAATAATTGATCCCAGTTATTGAGTTTTCTCTGTGTTGTAGGAATATGCCCAATGTGTAACCTGTATTATCTCAAATAATTTTCACAACAATTTCATGAAATAGATACTATCACTTTTCTTCTTTTAACAAGTAGGAAATTGGGGCTTTGAGGAATTAGGCAATATACTCAGTCATACATGTAGTAAATGCGTGTCTGCCTCCTGTCCCATGCTCTTTAATTTCTACTTTACAGTGACTTTAAATTTTCTTTCTTTTCTTTCCTTCCTTCCCCTTCCTTCCTTCCTTCCTTCCTTCCTTCCTTCCTTCCTTTCTTCCTTCCTTCCTTCCTTCCTTCCTTCCTAAGTATTTGTCGCAAGGAAAAATATGTGCAGCTCGTTAATGTTTATTTTTCTCAGATTTAATCCAATTCATATCTAATTAGTCAACAGATATTTACTGAACACCTACCATGTTCCAGGCACAATTCATGGTCAAATATATCACCTCTGTGTGACTGACTAGATCAAAAATATTTTTCCAATCTAAGGGTATTTTTAAAAATAAGTTTTTATTAAATTAATTCTGAACTACAACGAGATAGTAATTATTGGCTATTATAGAATCAAGAGAGAATATTTTAATGTCCAAGAGAAGTGGGTTAGCAGCAGTATTGCCATTATGAATTATTAGATAGTATTTTCCAAGATTATTTATACAATAGTTAACCTGAATTTAGACTTCTATGTAATCAAAATCCTCATAGAAATCATTCAAATATTGGAACTGTCGACAAGTCTGTAGAAATGTGAGATACATATTGGCAAGGTAAGAAAGAGAGATTGTGAGAAAGTGGAATTGTAGAAGAGTAATAAAGAAAATTCGAAATTGAGAGATAATATCATAAAGGGGACCAGAGAAAGAAAGAGATTAGGATAGAGAAAATAATAT